CTTCCTGCCAGGACAAAATCTAATATTTCTGGGTGCCCACAACCTTCCTTAGAACCATAATGGGAAGATGAATGCCCTCAGTGCGCCACATGCAATATTGAAGCACTGATGATGCAATCCATCTCCCTCAGCCCACACAGCAGAAGGAAGAATTGCGCTGCCCTTCCTGGACAGAACCCAGCTCTGCCATGGGGGCCCTTTGTGCTGTGCAGACCCTGTGCTTAGGTACTGACACTGCATCCAGCACTCCGTGCTGCCAGGAGCTGTGCAGGGCTATGGAATCGTGCAGCTGCCCAAGGAACTCTCAGAGCCAGGATCTCCATGCAGATGCATGTTTCTGAGGGTGGCTGGTGCAGGCACAGCTGGAGCCTCTCTGGGCTGCCTCCCATGCAGCTCACCCTGTTGCGTTCCTCTGCAGTGCAGCTGGACACAGAGAGGCAGCCCCACCGCCCCAGCTCCATCCCCAGCAGAGCTGCCCAGCAGCCGTGGCCCCAGCATGGGCTGGCAGTGTGCTTCCCTTTGTAAACAGGATCAACCTAGTAGTTTGTACTCATTAAGCTTTAATGGCACGCAGTTGCCAGCACACTGTTATTACTGCAGCCTCTCCTCCCTCTCGTCTCACTCCTTTGTTGCCTGCTCTTGCTGTGCCACCATGGAGCCACCTGAAAACCTGGGCACCCCCTGCTTGCCAGGCCCCACAGCTCCAGCAGGGCTTGGCTGTATTTGTTTGCTTGTTAACAATTGGATGCTCTGCCCTGTGCCTGGAGAAAAGCAGGCTGGGGCTGTGTGGTGAGCTGGGCAATGTGCTCTTCTGGTTCCCTGGAGATCCCCTGGGAGACTGTAATTTTGTGTCATGCAGATAGCACCACGGAGGCATCTTCCCCTAGGCTTTTGTTTCCTGGCTCTGGCTGATCAGTTCTGATATGGCTGCACCTGCTCTGAAAGGAGGAGGCTTTTTTCCTCTGTCTTTTTGTGCCCAGCCACGTGAGCTAACTTGGAGGGAAGGAGCAAAGCAGGAATGTGTCCTTGCAGACAAACTCCTGGCTATGCTGCAGAGTGCGGCTGCCCAGGCAGGTGCTGCCCTGCACACAGCAGGGAGGTGCCCATGGAGCTGAACTGACGCTGATGAGCACAGGGCAGCAGGCAGAGCCCTGCAGAGCTTGGGTTGCCATGTCAGGATAACTCTAGGCTTTGCTCGGCCCAAATGCTGCCTTTCACTTTGTGTTTTTCTTGGGGCTTTGGGGCCGGCTGCTTGCTGCTCTGCTTCCTGCAGCCCTCGCTGTTTGCCTGATGCCTCCTGCAGCTCCAAACCAGTGAGTTCACACAGGGACTGGGGTGGCAGAGTGAGATGCAGTAATCGGTGCTTACAGCTCTGTAAAAGCACATTTCTACATGGAAAGCTCCTGTTTTCCTTTGCTCTCAGAGTTGCTTCTGATGTGATGCCAGCTGTGAATTGAGGCTTCCCATGGCTACCTCTGCCATGCTGGTGTTTGCAGGGTGTGCGGGAGCTGCTGCAGCAACATTGTTTTGATGCAGTGCAGAGCTCAGCCATGCGGGGAAGCTCCTGCTGCTGTTTTCAGACGTGGAAATGGTGAGCAGCTCTGGGCAGGGATCAGCTGGTGTGTGTCAGCCAGGCGTGACCGCGTGGAGTGAAGTGAGTGCATTGTGCTGCTGCAGCAGCAAAGGTTTGGTGTGGAGCAGGAGGCTGGGGAGGAATGCGCTCCATGGACTCCATGGAGCTCCAGGTGCTTTGTGGTGCCTGGGCTGCAGCTTCCAAGCCAGCAGCATGCTTTAGATTTTACATTTTTAAACAAACATCCTTAAGAGCTTTAAAATACAAAGGATTTTCATCATATATCTTTTCTTTCAAGGGAGATTAATGAGGGCAGAAAAGTGAGAGCTGTAATAGCTGAGTTACAGTCTGGGCTTTTGCCCTGGATGTGGTTTCTCCCTGTAGTCCTCTATTTCCTCCTCCTTCCCCATATCAGGCAGAATCCGAGTGTCTCTGTGTAGCACTCTATGTGCTGCTCTCCCGTAGCCCATAGGGTACGCTGGGTTTGCTCTGGCTTCTGCAGTGCTGAGACTTTCGGAAGCATGGTTAGGATTCCTGAACTTCCCAGCAGTGGGGTGTGAGCCCATGGAGCTGCTGGGCAGGTGGTGTCACTGCTGACATGACATGGCAGTGCTGTGTTGCAGTGGCTGTGCGGGTGCCCACGGCTGTGACACAGCTGCTGGTTTTACCTCCAGCGCGACTCCACTGCGCCGTGGTGCCAAATGCCGCTGCGGTGCTGCATGGCTCTGGCCGTTAGGAGTAATGCAATGTTTGTGCATAAGGCTGTGAAAAGCCTGAGGTCACAAAAAAAAAAAAAAAAAAAAAAGGAAATGACTTTCTGGTGGGTGTGTGCATGTGCATGCGCCTCGGAGCGAGGCGTAGGGCGGCCAACCTGGCGGCCTTGGGGTCCCCCACCCTGGCAGGAAGCAGCCGTCCCCTGTGAGCCCCGTGCAGCATGCTGCCTGCACGGCCACCGCATCCCCCGGTCACAGCACCGCGGCAGCGCCGAGCGGCCACCATGTTCCAGAGGAAGCGCAGCGTCTCCTTCGGTGGCTATGGCTGGTGGGTGGCTTTCGCTTCAGTGCCTGCTTGTTCATGGCTTTCCTTTCCGCTCTGGGAGCTCATGGTACAGCCTGACTGCTGCTGGGAGTGCGGGGATGCTGGGGAGGGTGTGCTGCTCCTGTTGCTGCTGTGCTGGTGCAGAGCTCCCATGGCACAGCACCTGTGGGGCACCCTGTGGCTGTCAGCTCCCTGCTCACTCCACGGGTACTGCCCAGGCAGCGATGCTCGCAGCAGCCTTGGGAGCACATGGGATGCTCCCACCTGGCTTGGAGCCCTTGATGCCTCCCTGATCCCTCCCTGCACCCACTGTCCTTGCACAGAGCACTGTGGCTGCCACCCTTGTGCCGATCTCAGTGGAATGCTGTATTTCTTGTGTCCCTCTTCTAAGAGTTGTGTTGATCTATAGGGAAAGGCTGTATGAAAATAGCACTTTTCTTCCTCTGTCCTTCCTCCCCTTTTTCTCGCTAAGTTGTTTTATGCCATTTCAGGGCAGTGCTGTGTTTATGGTCAGGTCCTAGGAGCTGATGGCTGAGCTGACAGCTTGGCAGCTCTGTTGGCACACAGCAGGGTGTCCTCCCAGGGCTGTATGTGGCTGCTTCCTGAAGCTGGGCTGCCTGATAGGCAGCAGTGGTTTGGAAAGGAGTGCTGGTGGCTGCTGTGCTGCCTGGGCCCCCGGGAAGTGCTGAGCAACTGGGATGCGGTGTGGGATGGCAGCAAATTCACCAAGGGTTTGCAAAGCCTTTTGGAGTCAGGTGTTCTGTTGCATGGGTTTTTTTCCTTGATATATAATAAAAATTACAAGGAAGCACTCTGATTAACTAATTTGTAAATAGATTTTGTGACATTTGGGCTTGTTTTGCAGTGGAAAGGAATTGTGGTTTTGCCTTCCAGCTGCCATTTGTGGCAGTGCTGGGCTCGTTCCCTGAGCAGTCAGGTGGCACAAGTGCAGGTGAAGCTCGCTGTCTTCTGCTCTGCAGGGCACGTGGGTAATCCAGGCTTTGCTCAGTTCTTCTCCTTCTTTGCTTCAACAGTTGCAGGGAAGAGATAACAGCTAACCAGTGAGCAGCACAGGAAAATTGTTGTGCGCTGTCCTTCAATGGCTGCGTGCTGTTGGAGTGCTGGGTGTGGGCTGATCAGGGAGCAGCATCAGCTTTTCTTATCTTTTAATATCAGAATCAATTTCTGCACAGTGAGAAGTGCAGGCAGCGCTCCCCACAGCCCGGCTGCCCCATTCTCACAGCCGCACGCCCTTCCTGTGGCAGTGCAGGGAGTGAGCCCCAGAGCTGGCCGGCACGCCCCGCGCCCTGCCTGGGCTGCAGCTGCTATTCGCAGACCTGCGCCGAGAGCACTTGTTTTTATCTCTGCCGGCCGCATCCGTTCCCACGGACGTGGGAGCAGTGTGCCCACACGGGGCTCCCTGTGCTCAGACACAGCACTGCACAGCGCAGGGATGGGGCGCTGCGGCGGTGAGGTGCAGCAGGTGCATGCTGCCAGCTGGGCTGCAGCCGGAACGCAGTGCCACTGGAGTGGCTGCCCCGCACCGAGCACCCTGTGGTCACTTAGTGTGCAGCCGTGGAGCACAGGGTGCTCTTTCTCATTCTACAGAATCAGCCCCCATGGGCTGCAGCACGGCACGGTGGGGACGCAACCCTGCATCACTGCTGCTGTGGCCTCGTGGTGATGGGGAGGTGCAGCACTGCGGGGCGGAAGCCATGCTCCTGCAGCACTGTGGTTGCAGTGCACGCAGCAGGGCTTTCAGAATTACTTTTTTTGGCTTTTTGTTATTGTTGGTTTAAAGATAGGGAACTAACCCACGTGGCAGATATCGTAATACTTGCAGTTACTGCCAAAAGACATCATTTTGCGTTTTGAGACATTATAATGATTTGCATCAATTAATATCAGTATGGCTTTAACCACAATAATTCTGTGGGGACCATCATTTATCACCAGTACCAAAGCAATGAATGCTGCACCTCAGCATCTGGTCCTGCTGCACTGTGGATCCTTACCATGTCCCAGACTTCCTGCAGGGCTGTGGGGTCCAGTGTGGGTCCCAGTGCACTGCACTCAGCTCTGTACTCATCACACAGACTGTTGGGGGGAGGGGCTGGGGAGTGGAGCATTGGGGCAGCTTGAGCACGGGTAAGTGGATTTGAGAGCGTGGTGGGAGAGCTGAACCCATATGGAAGAGCCAAGAGGGAAGTACAGGAATAAGCTGAGCTGTGTGTGGGCAGGGTTTGTACCTCAGATCCTCAGGCTGAACATGGGCGCATGAGCGGGATCCGTGGTGGTGTAGACACAGCCCTGTGCCCACAATAACACTGCTCTGCTCTCTCCCCAGGATTGACAAGACGATGCTGGCCAGCCTGAAGATGAAGTGAGTACTGTGCTCTTCTCTTGTAAACCATTGTCCTGCGAAGTGCTTGGTGGGCTGGGCTGGCTTTGAGTGGGGAGGGTTCGTTCCCAGCCCCGGCCACCTCCATCTGGTGCTGGTGCTGCTCCACAGGGCTGCCCTGTTGGGCACTGCCTGGGAGGCACCAGGCACATCTCGCATTTGCGTTGAGGTGGGGTGAGGTGTTTTGGTGTGATGGTGGTGTTGGTTCAGAGCACAGGGATGGAACCTGCTGCACCCAGACAGCTCTGGGCATCCCAGCATGTTTCACCAGGAACGTGTCCATGAGGCCGCAGTTCTCTTGGAGGTCTCACCAACAAAGCCAACCCCAGCTCCAGGGACACCCCGTGTCAGCCCCTGTCTCTCCCCAGTCCCACCTCCGGTGTTGGGGATTTTCCACCATGAGTGCTCCTGCTGCTCCTGGCACTGTTAGCATTGAGGTGTGCTAGCGCAGAAATCTGGCTGAGCCTCCCTTGGGCTCAAGGTAACTTGTGCGGGTAACTGCTCATGTGGTTTCATTTTATAATCATTACTTGTGCAAATTATTCATTAATGGAAAAATATACAGAGAGCCTTTGGGGAACCTGCTGCATGAACAAGCCCATGAAATGCCCTTTGCAAACAGCACAGCAGAAGCGCCGTTGCTAAGCTCACCGCTCGGGTTTTTGGTGAACTAATGAGAAGTTTAAGTCAACGTTTACAGCTCTGGGGCAATCTCGGTGCGTTTTCTTTTTCTGTGCCTTGTACATCATGCTGTGCTGCGCCCTGGTTTTAAATTTTTTTTCAGGGTCTTTGTAACAATTCTGAGGCAGAATTGTTGCACCTTCTGTGTAATTGTTGGACCTTCTGTGCCCACCGTGGGCACTGAGTGCCTTCGCGTGGCTGCACGCTTGGCTGTGGGGCGGTGACCACGGTGTGCACACGAGGGGCTGCAGCTGGGTGCTGGGCAGGGCTGTGATCCCACAGCCCAGGAGTGCTCATCCCCTGTGCTCCCCTGCACCGTCAGCCTGATACGGGGGCAGATGCTGTTTCTGGTTTCTTTCTTTCTTTATTTTTTTTTTCTTTTCCCTTCCTACATAATGCATTTTGGTGATAGCAAACCATCTTTGCTGCTGAGATGTGTTTTTCCTGACACATGAGTGCATGTCTGCAAAGCCTCTCGGAGCACGACAGGGGAAGGAAAACTACTTCCTAAGAGGTGACTTCAAGCACTCGTGAAGTGCAGCCAGAGCTCTGCTGAGTGCAGCTATGGGAGCAGTGCCTGCAGTGACCCCTCCAAGCAATGTGCTTTTCATGGAGCAGAAGCTCCTTTCCACTGTTATCAGTCCCTGTCACATTGCAGCAGTGCCATGCTGGCCCCAGCATGATGCCGGGTGCTGCTGGGGGCTGCAGGGCCCCGGGGTGCTCTGCCCACAGTGCAGGAGGGGCTGTGGCCACACAGTGTCACATGTGACCCAGAGGTGTTCGCACAGCTGCATGTCCCTGCAGTTGCTCCATCTATTTGCAGCTGATGCTTTCCACAACCTCTTAGCACTTTGGCTTTGTGCACAGATTGCCTCGCAAAATGTTTCTGTAATTGGGGCCCAGCCAGAGCCACATTAGATATTTGTAAAAGCCGTTTTGGTTTTCTAACGCCCTCTTATTATTGCTGCAACCTTCTGGCTGGGATGCCAGGCGTAGGCAATTTGCTCCACTGTATAACTTGTTAACAAAGAGACGAACTGCTGCCTCCACGCCAGGAAGTGCTTCAAGAGGCCTCGTGTGCTGCAGAATCAAATGTGACCTGCAGAAGTCAGGTGGAGGAGAGCAGTGAGTGCTGCTGGGGCCTGGAGCTCTCGGCTGCAGAGGGACCCTGGGGTGGCTGTGTGTCCCTGCGGGCTCCTGGGGTGGGAGCGGAGCTGGGGCCCACTCGTGCAGAGCCGCAGAACACAGCAGGCTGAACACAAACACACAGGTGGCACCAGAGCTTCAAAGCAGTTTTTCCCTCTATCTGTCTCTCCCTTTTCTTTTTTTAATTTGGCTTTCATTAGTTCCTATGGTAACCATGAATATGTCTGAGGGACGTGAGACTGGAGAGAATAAGTGGATGCTGCAGAGGGGGGAGCGCCGGAGGAGGGAGATTGGCAGTCCTGGCATCGTGGTCAGGGTGTGCACGGCCTCATTCTGTTCCGGGAGGCATCGGGACGCACTCGCAGGTGCAGTCGGCGAGCAAACGCACTGCAGAGCTCCGAGCGTCTCTGTGCTGTTCAGGAGCTGCCGCTGAGCTGCTGCCTTTGGGTCTGGCCTCCAAAATGCCCAGGAAGCTCTGGTGAGTGCAGGTCCAGCCGTGCCCCGTGCCCGGCACGCTCTGGCTTTGCAGCTGGCAGTGCGTGCAGAGCTTCGCTTTGTGCAGCAGTTCTGCTGCTGCAAAGTGTGCAGCACAAAGTGGCTCTGGAGGTGCTGGGGCACTCAGAAGGGTTGCATTGAGGTTGTGACATGCGGAGCCATGGGCTGCTCTGCAGAGCTCAGGTGTGTTTGTGCTGTGAGCCGTGGCCATGGGCTGCTCTCGGGAGGTGCCACCAAGTGCTGCCTGGCTGCATGCAGCCCTGCTGGGGGCTGGCAGCTCTCTGGGCTGGAGCTGGTGCTGGGGAGGGTGGGATGGAGGGATGCTACTGGCAGGAGCCCCGGGAGACTGACACCAGCACTGCTGTACTGCCAGGTGGGATGTGTGCAGGCAGGGATTGGTGTGTGTGGGAGTGGGATTCCAGCACAGAGCAATTCTGCAGATAGAGTCACTTCCAAGGCGGGAAAGTCTTCATGACAAAGGATCATTGTGTGTCACACAGCCGCTCTGGGTCAGGTGAGCTTGCTCACACTGATCTGCACAGGGCAGATGCAGGGGCTGCTAGAGCCAGGCAGTCCTAGAGATGCTCCCACCCCATCCCGAGCTCATTGCAGCTCTGTGCTGGGCTCAGTGCAAGGTGGGACGCTGGGATGGGATGCGGCTGTGAGCTGCTTGGGGCTGTGCCTATGGGGACCCTCTGTCTGAGGCTTCTCCTCAGCCCTCGGGGCTCTGTTTGTTTTCTCCACTTTCTTTGTCCTTATGAAGCAAAAATCACAACGAAATTGTGTTTCTGTGGAACAGAAGAGCCCTGTGCACCAACTGCTGCAGTTTTGGGTGTGCACAGCTCACCTTCCCACAGATGAGTGCACGGTGCTCATCTGGCAGCGCGGGGCTGAGCGAGGTGAGCTGTGCCCGGGGCTCTTCTGTGCTCATGGATCAGAGCTGTGCTAAGGGGAGGGCAGCGAGTTGGCTTCCTGCTGGGAGCTGCGGGGCCGGCTGCCGTTATGCTGTATCTGTGTGCTCAGGTCCTGCGGGGACAAGGTCTGGGAAGAAGATTGTTTGAGAAAATACCTTTGATTTTGTTACCCTCTGTGAAAATGGATAATTACGTGTAAATGTATATTTGAAGTTGCCCTCTGGCTGCAGTGGTGCATACGGCTGTGAGCAGTGAGGCAGCACACTGCGTGCCTTGTTTGGGTGTGCGACTGTGGATCTTCTGGGCAGCGGGATCTGCCACCTGAAGCTTTCAGGAGCGGTCCCCTCACCAGCCCGGCTGCTGATGAAATTAATTAGTAAAGAAATGTGAGAGAAAAATTGCTTGTGTGGGACCGGTGTGCGAGTTGCACACGAGCAGCGTTCCCGCAGCTCCCGGCTGTGCCCTGGGGAGGTCGGCGTGCGGCGCTGCGGGGCGGGCGGAGCTGCGGGGCGCCTCGGGGCGAGGAGAGCCGCGGAGGCGCTGTGCTCCCACTGCCCACCAGGTGGCGCTGTGCTGCTGCCGGCGGAGGGCGGGGAGGGAAAGGATGAAGGCGGGGAGCGCCGCGAGGCGGGCGGCGTGTGCGGGGCGGTGCTGCAGCCGTGCAGGGAACACCGGAGATTTGAATTATGGTTTGTGCTTGGGCTTTTGGGGCAAAAAATAAGCACACTTCCCAGACGAGTGCGGGGCAGAATCTCCGCGTGGCGCTGTGCACGGAGGAGGGATGATGGCTTACCGTGCGTCATCCTGACCGGCTGTAAGACGCCCTTCTCACCCTTGGGAAACGCTTCTTCGTTTGTGACGCTTCTGTTGTCAGCTGTATTGATTTTTATGGATGTGCATGCAGCTCATTTCATCAAAACAAATTCTTCCGAGCTTTTCCGGTGTGATCTTTCTCGGTCCCCTGACTGTAATCTCATCCCTTTTTTTCTATAAAGTTTTTCTGGAAAGCTAACCATCTGTGATGGGCCCATAAATCAGCTGCTTCCCCTTGTGCACGTTTGGGTTGGCTCTCACAGTGTTTCATGTGGCAGCAAGGGGAGGGGAAGCAGGATTCACTCAGAAATGGATTGATCACTTAAAAATGTCAGTGCAAAGAAGTATCAGGGGAATGCAGCGTTGTTGCTTTCTGTGGCTGCTGTTGGATCTGAGGAATGTGGCAGAGGGGAACACCACCTGAGATGCTGCATGGAGGTCTGAGTCCTTCTGGCAGTCAGAGTGCTTTAAACAAACAAACAAGCAAACACATAAACATTAAAGTCCAAACAAACAAACAGTAAAAACCCTCCGCTCTGGGTGGGTTTGGGCTCGTGTCCAGCACTATGCAGCATGACTCAATCCTGCTCTGGGGGGAGAAGATGGCACACATGGAGCATTTCCCTTCTTCTCACGCATGACCAGCAGTGGGCACACAGACATGGCTTGTCTCTGCTCTGTGCTGTATTTGCTGCCCTGCAAAGGGCTGTACCTGAATGCACGCAGTGCTGAAGGCACAGAGCCCTGTGCAGCGCGGGGAAGCGGAGGTGGGAGTCAGTAATTTAAAGGGAGGAATGTATAAAGCAGTGAAAGGAGGGTGAAAGTAGGGCAGTGCGTCTGGTGTCTCGGATGAATCATCGGCCAGCTCTCGCTGCTGCTGCTTTATTTGCTCCTCATGCAAAGAAGTTGGTGTCGGTGTGTTTTCCTCACTGGTTTGGGTTGCTGGGCTGTGGAACAGGACAGCGCAGCGCTGTGCCGGGCTGGTGCAGGTGGTGGCTGCCTGTCCCATAGCGTGGTGCTTCTCTGAAATCTGCGCTTTGCCCTCGTGACAGCGCTGCTGTGGGGCTGAGATAGGATGGCCCTGCCCTGCCCTTCCCACAGCAGCACAGGGGTGCCCTGGCGCTGCACTGGGGACGTGCTCTGACGCTGCTGCTGGGCCCGGGTCATCTGCAGGCAGATGGGACTGCAGAGGGTGCTGAGGGCAGCACGCTGCCATTGCACTGCCGTCCTGCCAGCCTTCCTGGGCTGCTACAGCAGGCAGCTCTTGGGCTGGTGTGGCTGTCCTTGGGCAGCACTGGAGCAGAGAGCACTGTCACCTCTGGGCCGATGCAGGCAGGGCAGCTGCAGAAGCATGCAGCCCTGGGCAGAGCCATTCACATGCAGTGCATGGGGACATTGGCTGATGCTGTGTGTGAGAGCAGAACAGCTGTCACAAATCACATTCATTTTCTAAAGGGGGGAAAAAACAACTTGGAAGAAGCCTTGATATCCTATTTTCTTTATGGACAGAAATGAATTTCAGTGGGCACAAAACTGTTTGCTTCTTTTTTTTTTTTTTTTTTTTTTTTTTTTTTTTTTGCTTTTTTTCCTGTGGTACTATTTAACTCAAGAAGAAAAGTCTGGAAGGATCTGAGGGGCTTTGGCATGGTCCTAGCAAGCAGGGGCATAGAGGCAGAGGTTGGTGCTCCTCAGGGTGGGGGGCACTGATCTCATGTGCAAGAGGAAAACTTTTGCAGGTGGAGGGGGAGCTGCCCCTTGGCCCAGGATGGCTTCTGCTTGTGCCAGCCCTGGGCAGCTGCTGCCACATGGCACCTGTAAGGCAGAGGTGAGCCAGGGTGCTCAGTTACCTTTTGGACTGGGGCTGCTCACTGCATGTCGTCCTGCAGGACACCCCATGCTGGTGGCAGTGCTGTCAGTGCCGTGAACAGGGACATGGAGGGATGGATGGCAGGGGTTGGGTCTGCAAGGAGGGCGCCCACCCCGTGGGACAGCCCCAGCCTTGTGGGGCTCAGCAGCTGGCTGAGGATTTCCCAATCCAGCAGTCCCAGCACTGCTCCCCTATCTGCAGTGAGCAGATGGTGCTCGCTGTTTCCAGGAAGGGTGGTTATCACTGCTGCCTCCTCCGGAGCCACCCAGCCCCGTGCCCTGCAGCCATCCTCAAAGCACGTACCAGAGCGTGCATGGGATGGAGGAGCTGTTCCCAGAGAGGGAGCGGCTGCGGCCCCAAGGAGCAGGGAGTGTTTTGGCCATTCTGCCTGGTAAGCTTAACTTACATTAATGTTGGGGGCAGATCCTCTAGCGGGAACCCAGCAGAGCCCCACTGATGCTTTTGGGACTTGGCTTTTTTTTTAGATTCCTTCCTCTTGGTGGCTTGCCATAGGTGCTTGGGTTATTTGGGGATTTATTAATGCAGAACCCCAAGCTATGACGTGCAGGCAGTTTGCTGCGATCCTTCAATATGTGCGCAGCTCCCAGGAGACAATGGACACAGCACCGTGGTGTGTGCTGCTGCTGAATCCCATATGTTGAAATGTTGTCATTCCTATCACAACAGCTTTCACATGTTTAAAGCCAGATTATCCGCAATTACATCTGCCCAGAGGACTCAGCAGCCACGTGGGGCTATTTTTAGCTCTGCTTCAGAAGCAATAAACTGCGTTGGTTTGTATATTTCTTCCCTCCTGCTATATTTATGCTTTGTCAAAATAGGAGCTGTTTGCAGAGCATCAAAAGGAGGCCACCTGAAAGAATATCAGCCCTCCAAAAGCAAATATTGTTGTAATGGGGGGAGGGATGCTTAATGGCTGGACTGATAAAGGCACCATCTGGCTGCGGATGTGTGCTCTTGCGTGTCCTGGTTTGCACAAGCACAGAGTGTTCCGTGGGGGCCGTGTGCTGCCCGGTGCTCCCTGGGCAGGGGGGCCCTCCCTCCCCACCCACTGCTGCTGTGCTGGAGCCACAGGCAGTGCCTGGCTCAGGCCATGCAGCTGCAGGGTGGTGAGCTCTGGGAGCTGCACCCGCAGAGGGGCACAGCAGCACTGGGTGTGGGAGTGCAGGCGCTGTGCCAGAGCCCATGGCTGATTCCTGGCGATGATTTGATGTCACTGTGCTGCTTCCATGGTTGTCGCTTCTTGCACTGAGCTGGGTCTTGGCAGCCAATGGGGCCCAGCACTGCAGCCAATGCACCTGGAAATGGGCTTTCCATTTCCAGAGCTTTCTTTCCAGTGGTGCTCATAATGTGCAGCATTGTGCTTGGTTAGCAAATGGCAGGCAGTGATCAGCTGAGAACATCATGTCGGTAAAGTCAGTTGTAAAAGGCTGGAGCATCTCAGGTTCCTATGTGGGAGAGAGATGGGGAGGTTTGATGGGTGCATGGATAGGTTGGGGCTGTACTGTGAAATCTCTCTGAAGACTCAAAGGTCACTCCTCTCAGATACAGTCCTCTCTGATTCCTCTCAAATGTTACTGGTGTCACGTACCATGCACCATGACAGCTCCTTTCTCGCACAAGCAGTTTGCTGCTAATCCTCTCCAATTTGGAAAGCTGAGCTCAGTGTTCTTTTTGCTGGGATGATGCGGATTCTGTGACTCGGTGACATCCTGATAATAATGAGCAACCCTGGCTCAAATGGGTTATGAGAGTGGGGAACAACTCCCATTGGGTCTTCAGCAGAGCTCCAGCCATCAATGCAGCTGCAGGAACTGAAGGGTTTGCCCTATGCTTGCATGTTAAACGGAAGATGGGGAGGTTTGCTTCAGGGCAGGACAAACAGGGGTAGTGGAAGAAGATCGAGTTGGGGGCTGTGTTGTCCTCTCCCTGGCAGTACTCAGAGCTGAGAAATGGAGCATGGCAGTCCTGCTATCACTCTCCTTTGTGAACAGGAAGCGGCGCTGCTCTGAGCGGCTGCGCTGTGCCAGCACTCCTTCTGCAGCTCTGCCCATGGCTGTGCTGGGCTGCTCAGCCCTGCTCCTGCTTGGTCAGGCCCTGCAGCATGAGATACTGAATGACGAAAATGCCCATTTGCCAACACCATCTACTGCACTTTGTATCTTTTAATCAAGAGCAAGAGGCAAGGGAAAGGCTGTAGAACAATAGAAACCCATTTCTGAGCGTGATTGACTTGAGCGCACTCCCTATTGTGGGGATGTGTCACTGAGATAATACCCATGTTTTAGCTCTACAAATTATGCCTTTTCACTTCCTTGCATCAAACAAGGTGTCAGAGGGAGACAGTAAGGGAGCTGCTGGATCCCTGGCGCGGGCGGAGGAGTGCAGCTCAGAGTGCCACGTTCCTGTGGTGCTGGGGCACCGCAGTGCACACCGCTGCAGCAGTGCAGGGTGGAGCAGGGCAGTGGGTGCTCCGGGTCCCGGGGAGGAGGAGAGCTCTCCTCTGCCTGGCACTGGCCTGCTGTGGGTCCCGGGACCAGGCTGGAGAACGGCTGCAGGACAGGCTCATCCTGCTGCTGGCTCCAGGAGCGCTGGGCACATCACTGGTGTTGGTTTGCTGCACATCCTGAGTCTGGCTTTATTAATGATGCTAATGATAGATGATGGCATTTAGCTCACTGATTTGCTAGTGAATTTCAAAGGAACTGCTCCGACTGTAAAGACTTATTTCCTCTGCTGATTTGATCTGATTTAATTTAATGCTGAAATCTTGAAACTTGTTTCTTCAGAAAGCCTTGATTCATAGCAAAAAATACCCCAAGTTATCAGGCATATGATTTCCATTTAATTATGCTGCTGCCGTAGGCAGGGCAACTCCGTGCTGCGTTCCACCAAGAGATGCGGTGCAGCCGAGTTGGAGCTGCCCGGGGGCTCAGCCCTGGTGCCCAGTGCTGCACCCCGATCTTATCTTCTCTCTGCCCCTGCTCCTCTGCCTGCCCTGCAGCACTTCACTTCCTCTCCCTGTGCTGCTGTTTCCGTGCCCTCCAAAGGGCTTTGATCTGCTGTGTCCCATTGACTCTGCGAGGCTGGTGGGGCTGGACACCACGATGTGCTCCTGTGTGTGCTGCCCAGGGCCTCCTGACAGCTTCCCGGCTGCGTCTGTGGGGTGGCTGTTGAAGAGGGAGCAGTTACAAAAATAACACCGTGAGAACCTGTGGACATGTAGAAATATAAGATAGGTATTTGTAGGTACATAGATGGTTATCTACAGATCTTCTCACATAAAAGAGACTGCAGCCCCTGGGCTACCAGGGATGGCTTTGTGCTGAAGACAGAGCAGAGTGCTCCCATCTGTCCCTCAGCTTTTTGGGTCTGGGGGTGTCACTGCAGTGCCTGGGGTGAAGGGTTCTGCCCTCTGTGCTTAGCCTCTCTTTGTCTACAAGGTTTCTTTGCAAGCCATGACTGTAACACAGGTAGTTTTCCTGTGAGACATGACCCATTGTGGCCGGGCATCTTGTGGCTGGCACTGGAGCAGCAGGCACAGATTTGGCCCCAGAGCAGTTGGCCGCCAAGTTGGGTCCTGCCAGGTCAGTGCTGCACAACGCCGCCTGCGCCGGGCAGCTGATGGCAAAGGGCAGAGGATGCTGCAGGCATTGCACGGCCCCGTCACTGCGCTCTGGTACAGCTCAAACACAAATAGCCACACTGAAATTCACTTTCTGTCCTTTGTGCTTTAAGTTTGCTTCAAGGTGGTAGTACAGATTCGTTTATTATCGCTGTGCTAACAGCGTAGAGTTTGCATTCTGCCTGCTGTTGCAATATGCAGTGACGTGAGAGGGTTCACCTGGCAGGAAGGCACCCAACAGCCCATGCTGACAGCACCCCCGCACTCCCCTACCCCGCTGAGGCAGCACACAGCCCCCCTCAGCTGATGCTTTCCTACGGTTCTGACAGTTTCAGTCTAAGCTCTCCAGCAGGCACAGCTGCTCCAGGTGGGTTTTAAAGTCAGATTAACTGCGTGAATGTGGCAGCAGTGGCACAGTGCTGCCAATCCTGTGCGTGCTGCAGCGATGAGCTGCTCTGCACAATGCTATGGGCATTGTGGAGCACAGTGCAGGGCAGAGCTGCTGCCGATCCCACACCCCTCTGTTGCGCAGTAATGGCTGCATGGTTTGCAGGAACAGGGGTCTGTTTGCAAGCAGCAGAAAACAGCTGATTGCACTGAGCAATACATGCACTGAGAGACTCATCCTGCTCTTTTCTGTGGAGCAGAAACACGGGCAGCAGTTTAGGCAGGGCTGAAGGTCCGGGTTCCCAGAGAGGAGCAATTTGCACCGCTGGAGTTAACTGAGTGGTGTTTCTGCCTCTTGCTGAAGCTCAAATTGCGCCTGATCTCTCTTCCACAGGACACGAAGGGGCCCACGTGTGCCTCTGGGGATGCTGCTGGTGTGGCTGTGCACCGCCCCATACCCACTGACAGGTGCTATGCCCTAGCATTGCTCTATGCCCATCTGCTGCTCCCCAGCAGCACAGCTTATCTGAGGTTCTGTTGATCTACAAACACTGCTGCCGCTCTCATGGGGGACCTGTTCCATTTTTAATGGGTACTGATATCTACCTGCACTTTGGCTTCCCTGCGAGACGAGAGGTCATCTGTTTGTAATGAATTTTTGCTCTTTCACTGCAGCTTTGATTGCTTTCCCTGTTTGTTTCCTGGGCAGGCCAATAATTGTACTGCCGAGATGGAACACTGTGGGCCCCGCTTTGCTGAGGGCAGGCAGAAGGTCAAGGCATGCTCTGGGCTCTTGGTGCAGCTGCTCGGGTGCATGCATTGTCTCTATGGGTGCAGTACCAGGTGCTGTGGCAGCACAGGGTCACACCAGACCCTGCTTTGTGCACAGGGCTGCCGGTGCTGGGCTGTCTGTGTTCTAGGAGCACGCTTGCTGTTTCCCGAGCGCAATGGAACACCTGAGCCCACTGCCTTTGTCTGTGGCCAAGGTGCTGGGGCTGCTGGAGGCACACAGCACTCATCCTGCACCGCACTGAGGAGAACCAGACCCAGTGCCTTCGGTCCCACATTTCCTGCAGCCACGGCAGCGGGATGCTCACCGCCATGGGCAGGCAGTGGAGAGCAGGGAGCACTGCCCCTCCCTCCTCGCTTTGTTTGCTAGCTGCTAAACAAATGACCTTCTATCAAGAAAACAATTGAATTGAGTTTTCTGACCTTATTAAATCTCTCCATATGGAGAAGGTAGCAAGCTGGATGTGGGCACAGCAGCCTCCACCCTGCAACCAAGGAGCAGTACAGACTCTACTTGCAGCACTCTGTGCACCTCCTGCCTGCAGACTGGCTGTGCTGCACACAGACCC